AAATGAAGAGAAGAAATTGATGTTAGGGGTAAAACAGGAATAAAACTCCTATTACGGGAATAGGAAAAGTCTACTCCTATTTTTGCATTATTGCTATGTATTGCTCTTATATGGAGCAATTTCCGAATCATTTATGAAATCATGATTTAGCTGAACATCACCAACACTATTATATTATGTTTCCATCTTTCATCCGCACAATTTGAGTGAGCATCTGTAGTTTTACAATCAGAAATTATGGTATGAAAGTATGTAAAAGTCCCAAAATTTCTTTTTACACTCATAGTTACCCAATTCAGTGCAATCATTCACATTCCACAACGATCCAGTTATTATTATCTCTCAAAATCACTAACCAGTCACGACCTATTCAGTTTTTAAAATTGGACCGAAAAGAGTATTTTCCCAAACAAGGCACTTTTCAATATTATTTTCCAATTAAGAGTAGTTTTAAACTTATTACTCAATATTTTCGCTTTGTCATCTGCCACGTCATCACAACAATCACATCACATATTCCACATATTTCACACATTAAAAATGATAATTGGGGATACCGTACCTATCACATCACGACCTATTATTACTAATTATATATTGGCTGTTTAGCGTATTTTCAGGTATTTTCAGAGCACATCCACTCATGGCCTCCTTCAAAAGTCTTGAGAGTCTCCGGCAGTTATTGCTTACTCTGATGCTGATTGCGATGGGTGCCCGGATACAGGCGGGTCTACTTTTGGGTATGCAATTTTTCTAGGCCCAAATCTCATCTCCTGCAAATCCAAGAAGTAACCTGCGATCTCCCGGTCCTCCACTGATCTGAAGCTAAATATCGAGCTGTGGCTTTTACTGTTTAGGGAAAACACCTCATCTTCAGTCACTCCTTGCAAAGGGAAATTTTGGATAATGCCATAGAAATCTCGAATGAAAATCAGTGCATCCTCAGAAGAAAGCCTATTGAAAGATGGAAACTGATTGAAAACGGTCTTGAGATCATAATTTCAGGCAACCTCACTCAGTACAATGCAAGACGGGGAGACACCCACAGTTGGTCTCCCAAACTCTTTCATCAGTTGAGCGTCACCCATTGTTAGGTTAGGAGCAAATTGGAGCTTCCTTTTTGTCCTTTTGCTAATTAAGTCAAATTGGTCGTTCAAAGATAGCAAATCTAGATTGAGAGACCTGCGACCAAGCATACAACAACAAAAAAGAAAAAAAGAAAAACAAACACAACTAACTAAAATAAAAATAAATTAACAATTTTGCAAAATCTAGTTAAAGAAATTCCCCGGCAACGGCCCCAAAAATTGATAGACAATTTATAATAGTCCTCGCAAGTGCACGAGTCGCGGTAGTACAGTGTTCAAGTAAGGGTCGAATCCACAGGGAAAATGCAACTAAGTAATCGGAAAACTGTTAATAAAAATAAAAATGTAATTAATCTAACTAAAAAAATGAGTTTTGGATTTGTTTGATTTGAAATGAAATACTAAAGATTGAATTAAAGTGAATGCAAGGAATTTAAACGAATAAAAATAAAGTGATTGAAAAACTAACGAGAAATTGGTTGAGAACTTAGCAAAATAAAAGATAGTCCATGATTATGAATCAGTCATTACTTTTTAGTCTTTGTGATTTAGTCAGCCAATTAAAATTGATGGTTCGTTCTAGGCAAAAATATGACTATTCCGTATGACGTCCAGAATAAGTCACGTACTTTAACTATTAATAAACAGGAAATTATTAATTCAATAGTTAAAATCCATTAATCACAAAAGAACTACGGAAACCCGATGTAAGAACCAAATAGATAACCTAACAAGGCAGCCAAATTATCTATTCTTTTATCCAAAAGAGCTCAAATTAATAGGCATGTCATGTACTCTATTAATCCACTCAAACAACTTAAATAATCATATTAAAGTTGGCCAGAAATTAACATAATCAATTAAGCGAATAAGAACAATGGATAAAACTCAATCAAATGACATAACTAAAATCACAATTTCATACTAAATCATAGCAACGTCATCATATCCTCGACATAAAAATTTAGCTACTCATATCAGAACAATTGATGATTGAAATAGCAAGAGTAAAATACTTTATTCCAAACAACTCAATCAACAAGAAATTAATCGTACTGTGAGTGCAAAAAGAATTGAGTTCTGGAATCAAATTGCAGTGAAGAAGTAATTGAGCTAGAGCAAACTCTTCAAAATACGCAGATTAGAAGAATCGTTTCTGCCACTTTGTTCCGTGCTCCAGCCTTCTCCAGTTGCTTCCTGTCTTCTTTGTGTTCGGCTCTCAGTCCGGCTTTTCACCCCTTTCGGCAATAGGCTCTTGCCGTCAGCATAAATCCGAAACCCTTGTTGCTGCACTTTTATACCCTGTGGTTACAATTGATTCCAGCCCGTTTTTTTTTCCTGATTTTGGGTTGCTGGTGCGTGAGTTAACCAGCCATACTCCTGGTCTCCTCCAATTTGGACTCCCTTTTTTTTCGAGCCTTCTCCGCGCACCACTGATATTACTGGGCGCACCGATTTTGTTTCAAAAGTGGACAAGAATGTCCTTAGTGATCACGCCACTACAAATGCGCACCATCCACTTTTCTGTCACTAACATAAACGGAGCAGGACATTAGAAGTGTATCTCCCTTTTATTGATTTTTTTTCTCGTCCCTTTTATTGATTTTTTAAAAGCCCTCCTTGTATTCCTTCTTTAAAATAAAATAAAAATATTATATATTTTCCTAAAATTCTTTTCAAAAAATCCTAAAAATCCTAATAAGTAATGCAACTATCTTTGATACATACTCAAATTGCTAATATAATCAGGATTACACTTTTTACCCACCATTAAACAACTACTCCCTCCGTCCCTCAATTAAGTTCTCACATTCCTTATTTGTAAAATTATTTATATCAAAACAATCTGAACAGTGCAAAACAGTACCAAACAGTGTCCAAACAGTGTCAAACAATGTTTAAACAGTGCAAAATAGTGCACTCCACAGTAAAGTCAAATCTATTTTCTTATAATTTTTTTTACAATCTTATACAATGGAGAATGAATCTTAAAATTATCTAAAAAATAATGCTCTTGACTTCTAGACTTTTGAGCTATTCATCTGCCCCACTCTCTGTATCCAAGTTCTTCTTCTTCTCCTCCTCCTCCTCCTCCTCCTCCTACTCCTCCTCCTCCTCCTCCTCCTCCTCCTCCTCCTCCTCCTCCTTCTTCTCCTTCTTTTACAAAAAAAAGTCTTCCCATGTAAAGTACAAAGTTTTCACTTTTGCATGTTTTGCTTGCACGCTTTCTTGTTCTTGTTGCACTTTTTTGCTATAGCGAAAAAAAACCGAGTTATTTTCAAAACTGCCGCCGTCATTTTGGCCGGTTTTGACAAAATTCACAATTGTGCAAAAGTGCAGCGGCAACAAGCAAAGGTGCAAGCGAAATATGCAAAAGTGAAACTGTGTACTTTGCACGGGAAGACCACTTTTTATCTGAACTCTTCCATATACATACACACACAGTATATATTTTCATTCATCTTTACATTGAATAATATTGTCTAACTACGAGATGACAATATCTAGAATGTTTTTAATTGAGATGTTTTCGATCCTAGATCGACCAAATTTATCTTCATTTATAGTTCTATATTGAAATATATTTTTGAATATGTAACATTTTTAATTCTAGTAAATTTATTATCTTTTAAAACTCCATCGACACAATGGTGATTCGGCATTACAGACATATATGTTACCTGACTAGAGATTTAGGATGTGAATGATATTGAGAATGTTTTTAATTGAACTGATTTTGATCCAGACACATTCAAACAAATCAGATCAGACCTGACTAGACTAGATTTAAATAATACTATGTAGATACATTTATCGTTCATTCACCAGACCTGACAAAATGTTTTTGTTTTTTAATTTTTACATATATGATATTGGTGTCAGACAAATGATCATAAAAAACTATTTAATTTAAATTTTATAAAAATAGGAGCAAAATTGGATAAGTTAAAACATTTTATAAAAAAATGAATTATTTGACACATGTCAAATTTTAATTTGATATATTTTGATAAAAAGTAAAAAGAATGAAAAATTTATCACTTTATAGAAAAGTATTTGACATGTGGCAGCGAACTCACTTAGCTTAGCTTATCATCATACATACGCAGCACTATATTGCAAACTACATGTGTCGTATAGATGGATTATTACGTATAACAAAACTAAATTAGGGACAATTTTGTCCAAAAGGGGTGCGCATAGTAATTGAGGAGGTGTGTGAAGCAAACCCCCTTTTTGTTTTCTTTTTGCTGGTGCCGTATAAACCAAGAGGACTAGAGGAGTAACCCTCTTCTCTTTTTTGGTTGGCTGCACAGGAGTCTTTTAAACAAAAATATTTGTTCATTCCTTCTCAATTTTTCAACAGCCATTGGAAAAGAATAACTTCACAATCAACCCAAAAGTTCTCAAATCCTTCAAATAAAATCGTCACCTGTAAAAATCATTGTTAAGACATAATTAAAACGCAAACCTCTCAATTAGGTAAATAATAAGCATAGAATTGTAATAAAGTAATATAAAAACGAAGCACAAATTCTAGCTCATCAGAGAGTTACAGAATGGGACAAGTATGAATAGTATGATTATATACATAACCGTCAGGGGCGGAGCTAGGACATTGAGCCGGTACAAAGAATATTTTTAAAAAAAATTACACAAAAATTTTTACCTTAAAAATTAAGCCATTTTTTAAATTTGGAGTGAGTCATGGCTTAGCTTGGCCACCCTGGCTCCGCCCTTGATAACGGTCATCTATCTGTCTCGTTGTCATCTCCAAATAAGAATAGTGTTTCTTTGATACGGAGTATATTAAAAGAGGATTGATGATGGTAAGAACCTTTTTTTTCAAAACTTAGTCAATGTTCTTATAAATACTACAGAGTAGTTCGTAGTTCGTACTACGTATTTTAACAACAAACGGGCGAGTATATCGTATATGAGACGAATGGAGAAGTAAAAAACCTAGCGCCGCCGCAGGGTGGATCTAGGTGATGATAATTCTCTTCAATTCGTCCGTGGAAACTACAAGATTGGGGTTTGATGATTGTGATGTTCTACAAACAATAACTAATTACAGGTTTAGATTTTGCTATGATATTTCTCTTTTTTTATTTCTATCTTCTAGGGTTGTGGTTTTAGTCTGACATCTTCTTTCGTCGAGAGTTATGTCCGCTTCATGTGAGCGTGTGTTTTGATCTTCTCCTAGCAATGTCTAGAGATTGTGTCTTCCTCGTCGGTGTGACCGAACGAGTGATTCATTATTCATGGTTGGCAAGACAGATTCAACCTAGTCCTTCTGAAGCTCCAATTATTCGCCCTCCTCCAGAACCACTGCCTCACTCGAAGAAAAAGATAACTCTCAAGTGGATCTCCTTTTCGGTGGCTGGTCAAACTGATGATCCAGGTAATTTCTGCCCAATTGAGTTTCCTTTGTTGGTTGCTGGCAATGTTTTAAAAGGCGCTAGGCGCTAGTCGGACGCCAGCCCAGCGCTTAGCGCCTAGGCGGCTAGGCGGGCGCCTAGTCGGGGACTAGTCGGAACTTAGAAATTGCATTTTTATCTATATTTTTGCATAAATATGATAAGTAATATTGTATTTTTGGGTGAATAAGATACATATATACACATACATTATCAATCATGAATGATAGAATTATCACATTTAATCATATGTAGTATATGATAACTAATCACTTAACTTCATTATGTTATAAATATAAATAACAATAAAATATAGGTATATATACAAACATATATAGTCTTTATCTTAATTTGCAACTTCATTTCTCTATATCTAGACTAAAGTTAAAGTACTTATATCTCTTAGAAAATTAAAATTAAAAACTAAAGTAATGTTTGGCGAATCTAGATGGCCTAGGCGGCTGATTAGGCGCTCTTGGCGGGCAACTAGGCGCCATAGGCGGCCGACTAATTCACCTAGACAGTAAACCAATTAGTCGGAGAGCCTAGACGAAAATCGAGGCGCCCGGCCACTGCCTAGCGCATAGGCGGGGACTAGTCGAACGCCTAGAACGATTTTTAGAACAGAGGTTGCTGGTCAAACCAATTCTTCCTTTCCGGTGGCTGGTGAAGCCGGGTTTTTGAGTTGTAATTTTTTATTTTCCCTTTGGAGTAGCAAGAAGAGCAACAAAACTGTTAAACTAGACTACATTATTGCGGGATTAGTGATCTGGAAGGATTCATTGGATCTTTTCCGTTCTATGTCTCATCCCAATGTAACCTTAGTCTATTCATTATCTTGTATCTCTTCTATCTTTTAATAATAATTTAGTTATTTTGAAAAAAACAACAAATGGGTGAGTTGTCTTTCAACTCTATTAATTATATAAACTGCTCCAGAGCTTATCCAAAAACAACTACTACTTCAGAGAAAAAAGTTACAGTAAAATTAAAAATAATGATTTGTACATACGAAAATACGGGGTCCTATTTACTAATTTAAGAACATTGTAGTCATTTCAACATAATTAATAAGTACGCTTGAACTTCTATCATTTGGTCGTGCAACTTTTTCATGTTGAAATTATACGAAGTTAATGCAATCTGCCAATCTGGCTAAAACAACAGTCATAAATCTGCAGAAATAAGATAGACAAAATTTGAAATAAATTCATAACCATCAATAAAGTAGAACGAATGTTTACATGAATTTAACAAATCATAAACTAGCAATCAAACAATGAGAAATATTGGAAAATAAAGTCCATAATTGTCAAAATAAAAGCCTATTCAATAACACTGGAACGGTTCGATATCAAGATCAACTAAATCCGTTGAAATTGGTAAAATTCTGCGTGACGTGGCTATAGATACCATTTGGTAACACTGAAATTGGATTAACTGGCTGGATCTGTTGAAATTGATAAAATTACGGTGAAGAAACTCAATGCGCTGAATCTAGTAATAAATAATGATAAAATTATGTTTAAAATATATTTAGTTAATAAAATAAAGAAAATAGTATATGGAAATAACTAAAATCAACTTCTTTAGTAAATTCAAACAATTAAATGAATATACGTAACTTACAAAATGAGTATCGAAAAATTCAAAAGCTCGATTTAAATGCACAAACAAATATAGTAGTTTATATTAAAAATAATTTATGATCTTTCGTTCTCGAATTAAAAATATAAACAGGTTCTTTTATAATGTTTTACCCATGCATATTTATTTTACACTATACTCATTTTAGTATAACACAAAACTCATGTTAGCAATTAACACACAATACTCAAGAGCTAATAACTATTTATCTTAAAATTAAAAAAAGAAAAATAAAACATTAATACTAAAATATTTTATAATGCACAAATTAAAAAAATTTAAGTTAGAAGATTGATTTTTTGTTGAAAGAAAGTTAGAAGATTGATTGAAAAAAAAACTCGTATATTGTATTAATTTTTTATACAGTATTTACATTTTATCATAATTGAATAAAAAAATCAGGGTTTTCTCATAAAGCGGGAATGCAATGCATCAGCGTCCAAAAAAAGGGAGTTTTCTTAGGTTTTCTGAAAACACGGGAAACGTGTTTCTCTAATCCGAAAGTTTTAGGTATAGTTGGAAGACCTATGAAAAGTTAAAAAACGGATTCTATGAATCCGAAATGTGGTTTTAATTATTTTTAAAACATGGGTATGTTGAGTAGGTTGACTAAGTTGAGTGGGGTATCTCAAGTTGAATGGGCTCTCAAGTTCAATAGGTTTTTTTTAATGATTTCTTACGTTTTCTTTTACATTATTTAGTTTCATTTTTTTTTTCAAATAGGAAATCACAAATATTTCAATAAAAATATGAACAAAAATAGAGGCCCTAAAAATAAATAAATAAATAAATTATTGATATTTGTACTGATTACATTTTAAACATGGTTCAGGAATCCGAATAGTAGTGTTTTTTTTAAAACATGCCTAAGCTATGTACGTAGAGTTGAGTAGATAAATAATAATATGGAGTAAGTGCATTATTTTGTACTCTATATTTTAAAAACGTACAAATAATTTTATATAAATTTGTAAGTGGGATAAATAATAAAGTGTTTTGATTGGGATAATATGTACAAAAATGAATAAATTTAGTGATATTTGTAATTGGAAATATGTGTATTTTTTTATGATGTAAAAACTAATCAATTGTTAGGTTAGTGATTGTATTAGTGAATATACATATTTAATGATATTGTATTATGAAGTTATTCAATGTTCCCGCAAAAATAAAAACATAAGTATTTTATTGCTCATTTATTCTTGCATAAAAACATGACAAACAAAAACAAATTTTTATTCATTGAAAAGAGTTACAAAATACATTTAAATTTACTCTTGTGCTCTCCTACTCAGACGCATATCCATTTCATTTGTAAATCTTGTCCTTTGAGGTCTACCGGTTTGACCGCGCCTAGCACTTTGAGGCGGTATCACCAAATATCCGGTATCAGGCATCGCACTTACGTCATGCATAGGCATAATATCCGTAGCATACGTACGGATGTAGGCACCTAATTGATACACGTCCGGGATGAGATGATATACAGTTATTTCTAAGAAATGACATGTCGCATAAGCATTATATGAACACATGGAAATCCATTTTGCTTCCAAAAACTGCAATCACATTCGCAACGTGAGAGATATACCGTTACTGGCGGATAATCACTGATGGAAACAGAGTATATTCCAGTTGTTTGGTTATGCGGGACAATAGTGCACCGATATCTTTGCTGCGAACGTGCAAGAATATCTTTCCACATATTTTGCGGATAGAGGAACCCAGCTTGCCGCCACATCTGACCGGCCCTACGTCGGTCGGCAAATAGTTGCACAACTTTGTTAAAAGTTGCCTTAACAAGCGCGGTGATTGGAAGTGTACGACATCCCTTTAGGACGTTATTGAAGCTCTCGGAAATATTTGTTATGAGGATGCCGTAACGTCGTCCGTCATCGAAGCACAGTGCCCAATTTTCATGTGGAATATCATTCAAATACGTGAACACATTCTCATTCCTAGCACGAATTTGAGCCATTGTTTGGTAAAATTCACTCACCATGGGTGTACTCCTGTCCTGCCAACAAATCTTTTTCAGTTCAGTGCTCCTGAATTTTGTCATGAAATTGCTCCTAATGTGTCGGAGGCAGAACCGCTTTGAAACTCGGGAGGTTTTCAATTGAGGTACTGATCGATAGGCACTTAGGATGTCGGGATGCCGGTCTGATATTAAGCACACATGCCGATTTGGTCTGACAACATAAGTCATAACGTGTTCCAAAAACTAGGACCAACTATTTGTGTTTTCACTTTCCACGACTGCGTAGGCGAGAGGGAAAATCTTACGGTTAGCATTCATGGAGACTGCAACTAGGAGATGGCCCTTGAACTTTCCGTACAAGTGAGTACCGTCTACAGATAGTACGGGCAGACAGTGTTCAAACCCATCAATGGAAGCTTTAAAAGCCCAAAACGCACGGTGAAATTCATACGTACTAGCGTGATCGGTTGGTTTTGGTTGGAAATCTAACACTGATCCCGGATTTGATGCTCTTATCGCATGCAACAAATTGGGTAAATCATTATAGGCCGCCTCCCAGTTGCTGAATCTTCGCTCAAGGGCGATCAAACGTCCATACCACACCTTTTTGTACTTGACATTGATTCCGAATTTGTCGTATATGTCTTGGATCACGAGTTTAATGTTGTAATCCGGATCAACATGCACTTTGGTGGTGATTGCAGTCGCTATTAACTTGCTCGTCATCAGTCTGTCACTAGGAGCTCTTTCATAATTTATTATGCAGTTGTGTAGTGGCTGATATTTTTTCACCATCCAAAAATTGGTGTTGAGAAGGTTTCCCGCCTGAATGTGCCACATACACGTTTCATCATAGATGCAAATTGCCTTCCATGATCTGACACGTTTGTCAAGTGTCCTAAAAATTTGGTTTTGCCGAATACTTTCTTTGGCTATTGCTTCTTTCAGTAAGTCGTATGAATCGTATATTTTGCCGACCACAATTCTGTCACTTTCACGATTTGCTGGTTCAACATATGGTTGTTCCAGTTCGATACCGGCCCATGTTGCGTCATGAGCGACATCATTATCGTCGGAATTTGTTGTTGCATCGTCATCTCCAGAAAATTGTTCATAATTAGAATCTTCTTCCTCTTCATATGTTGTTGAAGGGCCATCTTCCTGTTCAATAGTATGCGGGTTATAGCGTCCGCCGTATCTCGTTGATGGTCCGTCACCGTGGGAGTGGATATTGTGAAAAGTTTCACAATTGTGAGTATCACCTCCTCCATATGTTGATATTTGTGGTTGGACAATAGTGGTGCTTCGTGCATCCAGGAAAATATGCAACTCTTTATATTCTCTTTTAGCAAGTGG